CACACACACGCATCTGTCGCGTCACATCTTTCTGCTCACCATGACAACACAGAGGACGATAAACAACAGTATGACGTAACCAGCAGCACAGGGTGTCTACTGTGGATCTGCTGCCCCCTGCTGCTCATAAGCTGTGTGTGTGTGTGTGTGTGTGTGTGTGTGTGTGTGTGTACCTGTCTAGAGATCTTTGTGGGGACCAACAGTGACTTATGAGGACCGTCCTCACGAGACTGAGGGCATTTTTGAGACTCAAAATGTGGTTTTAGAGTCATGGTTACAGTTAGGTTATAGCTATGGTTCAGGCTGATGGTTAGGGTTAGCAGCTAGGGAAAGCATTATGTAAATTAGATGTCCTCACAAACAAAACATGAAAACGAGAATGTGTGTGTGTGTGTGTGTGTGTGTGTGTGTGTTTCTCAATAAGTTCGAGTTGGTTCACTGAGCTCTTCGAGTAAACTCAGTAAGACTGCAGGTGAGAACAGTTTGACGCTCTGTGGTCTCCAGAGGGAGATCCATCCAAACCACCACAGCTTTACTTCACAAATGAATATAAAGTGATAATGATGATAACGTGGAGTTTCAGGGTGAATCACAGAAATGAAAACACTATTTAAACCCTGCAGCTTCGTTCCACTGGTTCAGTTTCTCTTTTAAATGCAAATATATTTAAAATGTTAAAGTTGATTTTTTTAGCCCTCTATAACAGAAACATAGTTTATAATAGAAACATCTGCTTGACTTTGCACCTGATCCCAGAGGAGTTGGGCGCCTTGTACTCTAAAGCATAAAAGATGTGACCTTTAAAAATGATATATTCCTGTGGATTTCAAAGTTTTACAGACTTCAGAATTTCAATTAACTGGAAAAGAAACAGTTTATCGACATTAAATGAGCTCTGATGGCTCAAATGCGATACCTCGCAGCCCATGAGGGGACCCCACACTCTCTGGGGACCTTTCGGGACTTCATGTCCAGAGACACTTCCTGCATTTCTCTTTAACGCAGATAAACAGACTCAGGTGATAAAGCTGCGTGCTGCTTGATTTTGTCGTTGTTACCTGCAGGTTATTGTCAGTAACGATGACGATCTCATTTATTATTTATCTGTTAGCGGCCTCAAACACAATTTTCAAACTGTGATAAAGTTTAAACTTTAATAACTAAACCATCAGCTGGTCAGATCCCAGTGAGTCTACTCCGGGTACCATTTGTGCCTTTGTGCTCTAAATTCTCCACAGTGACGGAGAAAGTTTCATTTTACGTTTGAAGTGATGTCAATTTTTTCCAGTGAAGTGAAAGTTTACCTCGTCAGAGTCCAGCAGGGGCGGCAGGGCGCTGCGAGGAAGGGAAAACACGTTCAGTGTCACGTTTCTGATTTACAATAATCAGCAGATTCACACTGATTAACGCTCGTCACGACTTACACATCTGCAATAGATGACGGGATGTTCTCCTCAACCCACTTCAGGTCCTCATCCTAAGGAGATTAAACATGAGGGATCATGCTGCATGATGCAAATAGAAGATTTTCCTTTGAACACTAAACATGGGTTCATCAGCTGTTACAGAAACTGTGACTGAATGCAGTAAAATAAGCAGCTACCACGACTGAACAATAATCAGTTTAGTAACAACTTTAGTGAGTAAAGTTAAAAAAAGGATATAAAAAAAGAAAAATACGTTTTAGTTTCTAATCCACGGAATCAACGGATCCAAAAAAATTAAGATAACGCTGGAGCACCAAAAGCTGCAGTTCCTCTGACATCCACCGGAGGCTCCAGCTGCTGACAGTCATGTTAAAACGTTACAGCACAAATGAAGCACGTTTACAGCCTGATACAAAGAAATACGCTTTTGTCGCTTTTGTAATTTTTTTAAATAAATCATTAGTTCACATTTGATTTATTACTTTATTTTTGTATTTCCTTCATATATCTGTACCTGAGCTGAGGTGACGCAAAAATTTCCCCGTTGTGGGATCAATAAAGTCTTATCTTATCTTATTGAGCAACTTTTCTGGACTGTGTTTGTGCTGTTGGTGCCTTTAGGACCATTTTAATGCCACAATCTGACCAGTAACACGGCTGCTGCGAGGTTCCTGTACAAACCACTAACACGGGCTGATGTCTGGCGGTGTTCGGATTCCTCTGACTCACCACTTTGTTAGCTTTGGCTGAGCCGTTGGCCTCATTCTTCACGCCCCTCATCTTCATCCCCTCTGGAGACACAAAGGAGTGAAAAACAAACAAACCGTGAGAAAAATAATAAAACGTAGATGATCGTTTACCAGAGGTACCTCACACATGTGCAGCATGGCTCCTGTTTCAATGATGGAAACGTATTTAACATCGTTAACGTGTTAAAAATGAGTTTCTAATAATGAGGTCACAGCTGCTCCTCAAAGCTCTTGTTAATGAGGGGCATCCAATCAGAAGAAGGCTGGTTTAAAGGGCTAAAAGCTAAAACGGCTCGCCCTAGACGGAGGATGGACTGAGTATCAGATAACGGATTATTATGAAGAGTGAATCATGGAGCTGAAGAATAAACCGAACGAATCCACTTTAATGGATTCTTTTCATCTCAGGCTAAACAGAAAGAGGAGAGAAGTGAGGCGGGTGTGCATTCTGACCAAAAGCCTCGTTCATCATGGGCTCCTTCTCCTCTTCATCGCTCTCTTCATCCACCAGAGGACTGAAGGCGTACCTGTTACAGACACAGAGGACACGGCTTTACTTTACAGACACAAACTGGAGACTGGGGATTAAAAAAACCCCAAAACAACATCCCACCTCTGGTTATTGGCTGACGGTCGCCATAGAAACATAATGACCAATAGGATGATGGAGAACAAGAAACGCCAGAAAGCGTCATCTATCCACAGCTCCCTCCAGTCCTGCAGAGAGAGAGAGATTCAGCAGTGAGGAAGAAAAAACAAACTCGGTTCAGAGAATAAATCGAATTAATCGTAATTCTTCTCATTTTTGCAGTTAAATATTCTCCAATGAAATTTACCAACCAAATGAAAGCAAGAAATGAAAGAGAGAGAAGCTGGAGAGCAGCTTTAACTGAATCCAAGCGCTGAAGCACTTACAGACTGACATTTGGACATCCTGAAGGTCTTCGTGGTCCAGATGATGAAGATGACCGACGCTGAAAAGCACACAAACATCCTTAAAACAAGGACATGAAAATAAAATGTTAAACACAAAGAGAACTTTGAATACCTATGACAGCAAAGATGAGCGTGTTGGTGAAGTGTCTGTAGAGCAAGAGCTTCACCACGTTCCTCCTGAGGCGCAGCAGCTTCATCGTCTGAATCAGGCTCACAAAGATGTGACGACACGGTCAAGGAACTTCACCAAGAGGAAGGCTGAAACTTGTCATGCAACATTCACTTCACACGCAGGACAATTTAATACTTTAACTCTGTCCCACTCAGCTAACATCCACTCCCTCCCTGCCACTGCACAGGTAGGAACAACCCAACAGCAGACGCACCTGTCGGATTTTCTCTGTGCCGATCACGCTTTGAGTTCTCCTGGTGCTTCAGGGTAACTCTCAAAACGGACCCTCTGATGTTTAAGGACACCTCTGATTCAAGGGTCCATGTATCAGTTAGCTCTGGCTAAATATGTAACAAAGCAGCAAGGTAGAAACAAGTGAAAAAGAAAGGGAGAGAAAGCCAAACTTTCACTAGAAAGGGGGGAAGGTGCAGCGGCGGATATCCACCAGCAGAGGGTAGAGTCGAGCACAGCCAGAGGAATAGCAGCCAGGAGCACTACATCATCTTCAGCCTGGAGAGGGAAAGACAGGAGAAGACACGGAGGATGAGGCGAAGGAGACAAAATGAAGAGGAAGAGGAGGGACGCAAGAAAGCAGGAAGGGAAGGAAAAGAACGGAGGAAGTAAACAGAAAAGAGAAGGGTGAGAGGAAGAAGAGAAATGCACACACAGCCCACCCACACGCAGCACAGCGAACAGCTTCTGTTCAGTCTAAAAGGTTTGTTTTGCTCATCAGGGTGCAGCAGGTGGGTGGAGTTTATTCAGCATCCCTCATGTCGCTCCATCATTGGATATTTTAGTGGGTCGGACGCATTTACATCCCCCAGCAGGGAAAAACAAACAGGAAGAGACAAACAAGAGGACCCGGTGTGTTCAGAGATGTATCGCCCTCTGGTGGCTGCAGCTGAAACAGCCGCTTCGTTTGGACTTTAAATTTAGACTTAAATGTGTCATAAAATATTAAGTCAGTTGAATTCTGTGGTTTTTTTGCTTTGCTGAATTTGTTATTATAAATTCAGTTTTTACTTTAATTTATGCTTATTTTAGTTTATTGGATGGTCCATTTTTACCTCATTGACGTTTTCATTTTGCTTATTGTTATTTTTATCTGATTGGACTCGTTTCAGCCATTTCTTATACATCCGGTGTGTTTTACTTCATTTTGACTGCTGTAACTTTCCCCCCCACAGTCGAAGACTTTTGGTGACCTGCCACTGACGAGGGCTCAGGCTTCTAAATAAAAAAAAATCTTGTAAGAAATGTGTTTGTCCAAGAAAAGGCATGAAACAGGAAAAAGAAACCTTCACTGCCGATGCTCCCTGGATGCATTTGACACCTAGTTTAGGTCCGTGTAGCTCAAATGTGCAGAGCAGAAACATTTGGGGCTCAGCTTTAAGCCTGCAGAGATTTACAGGACCGAACCAAAGCTTTGGCACGGAGCTCGCCGCTTTGAGCCGTCCACTCAAACCAATTATGCACGGACACCTCGCTCTGGCATTTCAAATAAATTAACGCCCCTAATGGAAGCTAACACAGCCACAACAGGTGCAAAAGAGACTCTTGTCTGCATTAAATTAAGAAAAACCCTCGGTATGATTCATTTCAATACTCTCCTCCCAAAACGATGACTCTGAGAGGAAAACCCCTACAGACACAAAAAGATGCCTCCCCACGCCGATGCCTCTTTATTAAATCCTGACAGTGTGGTCATTAATACATTCTTCAGTGATTTATGTGCACTTATGTGTGACGGATTTTATTTAGTTTTCAAAAGATTAATTAAGCGTGAGAGGATGATTCTCTTAATACATGTTAAAGGATATCCACCAGACAATACAGGAATCAGTGAAGGCCAGCACTATGTCACACAAAACTCTACTGCTGGTGTCCCCTCGATCCTGCAGAGAAAAACATGTCAGA